GCTACCTTGGCTTGCAGATCACCCGGGACAGAGCACGCTGCACCATCACCCTGACTCAGTCACACATGGTGCAGCAGGTCCTTCAGCGCTTCGACTTCACGTACACCTCGCCTCAGGCCACTCCTCTGTCTACTCGCCACTCGCTCTCAGCTCTGCCTTCGGATGAGTCCGTAGAGCCGAGTGGCCCGTACCCAGAACTTGTTGGCTGCCTCATGTACCTGATGACCTGCACACGACCTGACCTTGCATACCCTCTTAGCATCTTGGCACGCTATGTTGCTCCTAGGAGACACCGACCAGAGCACATGGCTGCAGCAAAGAGGGTGTTGCGCTACTTGTGCAGTACGTCGGGCATGGGGCTAGTGCTTGGAGGGCGACGTTCAGTGGTCCTCACAAGTCACGCAGACGCTTCTTGGGCTGACGACCAGGCTAGGCAGCGGTCGTCACAGGGTTACACCTTTAGCCTTGGCTCCGGCTCTGTTTTGTGGCGGTCTACCCGCTCGTCTTCTGTTCTCACCTCCAGCTGTGAGGCTGAGATCTACGCGGGGGCCATGGCTGCACAGAAGCTACGCTGGCTCACCTACCTGCTGACTGACCTAGGAGAGCCGCCTCGTTCTCCTTTAGTTCTGTATGTAGACAACAAGGCCATGCTGGCCTTGTGTCGAGAGCACAGACTGGAGCACAGAACGAAGCACATTGCTCTTCGCTACTTCCTTGCTCGTGAGTTGCAGCAGCGTGGTCAGCTGCGCCTTGCTTACGTGGCCTCTAGGGCCAACACTGCTGATATCTTTACTAAGGCACTTCAGCCTTGTGATCATCAGCGATTTTGTACGATGCTAGGTCTTGAGCCTACTTGGTCTTACTTGCTCACTTCTTGACGTTGCTTGTACTGTGATCTATCTATGCCTGCCCTTGCTTGTTTACCTTTATATATAATCTTGCATGTGAACTAGCCTTGTGGCCTTGAACTTGTGCTCGGAATGTGTGGTGACGTTGTGATCCACCCTGAGCTTGCTGTGCTTTGCTTGACTGGTCTTGTGACCTCTTGTTCTCCCCCACTTTGCTTATGTTGTGTCAAACATATATGCTATAGTCTATCTAGGCTGTAGTGGGGTAGATAATATAGGGTACAACACTTCTAGGTTTCCTACTTATACCCACATGTTTCCTAGTCATTTCATTCCTCGTTCTTTCACAGTAATAACAATGTAAAAATAATTCACACACAAGAAGCTGCACCCGGATAGAACATAAATATTGCCCACTAAGCACCCCTTTTCGTTAATGAATAAAAAGTAAGAACCTACGGTGGTACACAGGGGAAATTTTATCAGGGTAAATCACGCTGATACCTTGATAATCAGGGTGGTTTTTGGGGGTCATACTGATGGCCCCGGGTAATTTTTTTAGGAGCTAGTTTTACCATGATGAACCAGGGTTTACATTTATGTCACACTGATGGATAAGGGTTCCCGGATCCTATAACGAGTTTTACCCTGAAACGAGTACCCTACCCCCCCCCCCCCCCCCCCCCGCCCCCCAGTACCCCCACCCCCCCTTTCCCGTAACCCTGGAATCCCGATTGACAAGTGTCGAAGCCTGATTTTCGGCCTTGACAGCGCATGTGCTGGCACACATTGGGCCACCATTGGCGAGGCTTACAGTTTCTTTGTATTGAGTGCAAGTATAAAAACTAGTGAACAGGGTTTGTTTTTTATGAACACTGATGCGCCAGGGTATATTTTTCCAAAACGGGGAAAACCCTGATGGGAAAGTTTTTTCACAAGGAGTCACACTAATAATCACGTTTTTGAGCCTGTGCCACACTGATCGCAAGGGTAGGCCAAATCCAAAAATTTGCCCTGGTGGTACAGTATGTCCGGGTGATTACGGTACGCACTCCTGTCACGCACCACATGAGCCACTGAAGATGGTTCAGTCAGCTCAGCTTACGTCCACCCGAAACACTGAGATCGCCCTGACCTTCTCATCACATTGAGGGGCGCAGCAAAGCAACCTTCATGCATTTGCGGCAGTCATTACCCACCAGGGCCCAAAATTGGTTTAGGCCTACCCTTAAAAATCAGGGTTCCAGCCCCTCCTTAGCCCGACCCCTAGGGTAAAAATTTTCGTACCCTGTTTGCAGCAGGGTAAATCAACCTATAGCCTGATTTGGTCAGGGTAGTTTTAGGCTAAGCCTATTTCGGCTACTATTTTGTGAGCTAAGTTTTTTATACTGACATAATAAAGTAGCACTCACAAGAGGGTCCTCGCTATCAGACAATTTTGTCTGTTTGTCCTAGAAATCAGACGTTTTTTTCTCAGTTAATCTGATTTTCCTATATTTGATTTCGATTTCATCTGATTGGCTAGAAATCATTTTTAGTTTCATCTGTTGCATCGGAAACGTATTTTCTAATTCATCTGAAACCGAATCATGTTATAGCCTATAGTTGCGAGCATTTCCTTATCTGAGATGTCAACCGGACCTGTCAGAATCCCAACCACTAGACCATTGGGATAAAAGGGCTTGTTTCAGTAGCGGGTCAGTGCGCCCATAACCCCCCAGGCAAACGCGCCTGTAACCCCCCCTAGGATCGATCGGGGATCTCACAGTGTAGCTCTACTGACAGGACCTGCCATGATTGGGCGAAGCATTCTCTGACAGGGCGAATCATTGTGTAAGGGCGAATCTGCTCTTGTGTCAGGGTACTTCTGCTGTGATTGGGCAAATTTGCTGCTCTCTAACAGCGCAAAATTGTGATTGGGCGAATTCGCTGTGCTCTAACAGCACGAAACCACCGTGCCAGGGCGAATTTGCTGTCAGAGCTTTTTGGAAATGTCTGACCAATCGGACACAGAAATATCAAATTTCTGACGGCCAATATCATACATACTCAAAGTATGCCCGAAAACGATTGCAGGTGTAATCAGGCCAACAGTAATCCGAACAGTGGCACTGTTCCCAACAAAAATCTGTCTTGGCGCGCCACCCGCAGCTTCACCAGTTGACCCACGTACAGTGAAGGCACCACAGTGCAGGCATGTCAGAAGCGAATCCCACACCACACACGCATCTGTCCACAAATCGAGCCCCCCAACCCAAACCAAAGCGGCAGCCTCCCCCACCTCCTACCCCTAACCCCCCAAACCGAACCTGCGGGTACCCAACGGTACTCGTTGTGGAACTCCCTCCCGCCAAGTCCCTTGTTATTGATTGGGATTACCGTGACAAGCAGAAGCCGCAGAAACAAAACTACAACGACCATGGAAACGCACACACATATGTTTCACATATGTGTAAGAAACATTGACATGTTGAGATAGAGAGAAAGAGATATTTATATTTTGTATATATTATTCAGTATTATTTAAGATACACATATGTACATGCTCCTGAAAATATTTATCGACTATTGAAATGAGACCGCCGGAGTGCTGACATCGCTGTTGCGGTATTCACCTGCGAATGAATTGTAAAATGCATGCTCAATGTCGCATTGCATTTCGTTCCTTGATATACAGCTTAGCATTCCGCCTAATTATTTAGTGTCTTCCTTGATATAAGATAAACTCGTGCCAAAATTCTATGTGAACACAAGTGGTAGCAAAAACATTGCTAGAACGCTACGATCATCTACACAACCATCTGCCTTTCTCCGTAGTCTCCCATTGTAGGGTGACTTTCAGTTGGGGGGGGGGGGGGGGGGGGGGGGGGGAGAGAGAGAGAGAGAGAGAGAGAGAGAGAGAGAGAGAGAGAGAGAGAGAGAGAGAGAGAGAGGGAGGGAGAGAGAGAGAGAATATGAATGAGAGAGAGAAAGAAATAAAGAAAAACCAAAACAGGTTAGTGTAGCAAAGCACCGTTGGGGATTTTTATGATTACCAAATACGATAGGGGTTCGAGTAGGTCAGGTAATTCACAGACGTACCTTACAAATAAATCCTTTACGCTTCGGTAGCTAATGTATTTTGTACGTTGGAATTGTATACGTCTACTTAAAAAGGTTCTTGGTCTTGATGCCGTGAAGCACACACTAAAGTGTGTCACCTGCCAAAATAAGGTACGCAAGTTAAGAAATAATAGAAACATGGGTTAGGCACATGTTTTGAAGAAGAGGTGAGTCCTGCGAAGAGAGAGAGCGAGCGAGAGTCAGCAAGAGATAGGGGGAGACAGCGTGAGGTGCGGCACGATACCTGCCCTGACGTGATGCTCTACTGATTCCCTGTGTCGAGCGCCTGGTTAGCATTGACTCTCGCCTCAGTTGACGTTGATAGCGCTGCTGCTGGTATGCAGACCTGCATCCTGAAAGTGCCCTGATTTCCAGGATTGAAGTGGAATCTGCTGTTGTATCAATGGCTGCTGTTGCTGTTGCATCCCTGGCTGCTGCTACTGCATCAGTGGCTGCTAGTGCATCAATGGCTGCTGTTGTTGTTGCACCAGTGGCTGCTGCTACTGCTGCATCATCAGCTGCTGTTGCAATTGCAGCACCTGTTGCTGCAGCTGCTTGATCAACAGTGTTGCATGAGGCTGCTGCTGAACCATAGGATCCTGTCCCCTTGATCTCCCATTTGCTCGACCACCTTGACGTGGACGTTGAGCTTGATTTTGTCTCCTCCTAACCCATCGACCACTAGGCTGTGTGCGTCCTTGCCCAAGATCGGAGTCCTCATTCTCCTCAGTCCCTCCCCCTTCCTCCTCACCTTCCTCAGGGACCACCTCAACCTGTAACCTGAACCCTTGTCTTCGTCTTAGCCGTCGCGTTGCAACTGGCTCATTGACATAAGGCTGGTCTTGCACACGAACATGTGACCAGAATGGTGCCATTGGATTTGAGGTCTGATGGGGGCTTCCATCCATCGGCTGCGCGTCACGAACACCTTGGGTAATATAGTCTGTTGTGAGTGCATGGCTGTCTGAAATTACTTGACCATCATTGTGCATGCTCAGATCCTCCCCCACCAATGCACCTCTGTTTGTGGCTGCGCTAGCAATGCGAGAGATGTTGACAGTTGTGTTCGGATTGGGACCAGGTACTTGCATGCCCGTCTCGTTCGCGGACGGCACCTCGTCAGAGGTACCGTATGGACCCTCCATTTGCAGCCGTGCATCTCCCAGTGTAAGGACCTCTAAGGTCACTCCCTGTTCCCTACCATTGGTGCTATCAAGCTGCAACTCCCCTTCTTCAACATCTGATTCATCACCATCACACTCATCATCAGATGAGCCTTCTTCCTCGTCAACGCCAACCTCACATGCCAGTATTGGAGCATCACCATGTGTTCCCGCATTTCCTTCTGTGTCCACACCTCCTATGACCGTTGCGGCAGGCCCCTGATGCTCGTCCACCATTTCCGTATTTTCCTCCTCTTCTTCATGGCTACCTGTCTCTTCGTCAGCACCTTCCTCAAGGTCCTCAATCTCAACCACCCACTCAGCAGGTGGGGTCGAACCACGGACACGGTGTGGTCTATCCACATTCTGCCGCATCAAATCTCCGAAGGGCAGTCCCACTCTTCCCGGCAGCTGCCCACTTCCCTGTGCTGCCCACTTCCCTGCAGCTGCCCACTTCCCTGCTGCTGCCCACTTCTCTGCAGCTGCCCACTTCCCTGCTGCTGCCCACTTCCCTGCTGCTGCCCACTTCCCTGCTGCCCACTTCCCTGCTGCTGCCCACTTCCCTGCTGCTGCCCACTTCCCTGCTGCCCACTTCCGTGCTGCTGCCCACTTCCCTACTGCTGCCCACTTCCCTGCAGCTGCCCACTTCCCTGCCGCTGCCCACTTCCCTGCTGCTGCCCACTTCCCTGCTGCTGCCCACTTACTTGCTGCTGACCATGTCCCTGCTGTTGTCGTCGACGGCAATCGTCTCTGAACCTGTGTTGACGCCCACATGCCGTGCATGAAATGTACGTTCCACCGACCCGTAGAACTACACTTGTTTGCAGGGCAATGTGGTCCTGAACCGACCTTTGTCCTCTCCGTGCCCGTGCCTCTTCCCGATCCTCACATGTGCGAACGTTGTGCCCCTTCTGCTTGCACCTACTGCATTTGCGCAACTTGAGAGGGTCAAACTCACCTCTCGAGCAAATGCGCTTGTTTTTCCTTCGTCCAGACCTTTTCTTGTACTTCGGAGGAATGTAAAACTTATATCATATAGCTTGTCTAGGCTATAGTGGGGTAGGCACTATGGGGTACACTTTCCTAGGGTTTCCTACTTGTACCCAACCTTGTGCTAGTTCATTCATTCCTCATTTCTTCACATGGTATAGACCAGGTTCCCTAGTGGGAACGCTTCCTTGGGCCCACCACTGAAATTTTTTTTTTGACCGGAGCGTCAGTCGCTCCTGCCCGAGGCGCGGCTTGTTCGCCGCCCTTCCAGGCCCCTCGCGGCCCCTAGCGGCCTCGTCGCCGCCCCTAGCGGCCCCGTCGCCGCCTCTCTACCTAAGCGGCCCCGTCGCCGCCCCTACGCGGCCCCGTCGCCGCCCCTAGCACCCCCGTCATTGAGGGGTGTTCCCCTTCCCCCCTCTTGCCCTCTGTTTCTTCTGCTGCTGCGGCCGACCTCGTTGGTTTCGAGTCGGTTGGCGCTGCGTCTACCCCTAGCGGGAGACGCCGCACCGGCAAGGGCAAGGGGGGCAAGGGCGCTGGAGGGGCTGGCGGGGGCGGTGGAGGTGGTGGTGGAGGTAGTGGAGGGGGTGGGGGTGGTGGTGGGAGTGGTGGCGGGGGTGGAGGTGTCGGTGGCAGCAGTGGAGGCGGGGGAGGCGGCGGCGGTGGCGGAGGGAGCGGAGGCGGCGGAGGTGGCAGAGGCGGCGGGGGTGGCGGAGGCGGCGGCGGCAACGGTGGAGCTGGTCGCGGCTCTGTGCAGAGGAGTGGGTCTGGTGGTGGTCCGCGCCACTAGCACCAGCGCAGTCCTGAGACCCTGTCCCCTCAGCAGCTTCGTGAATGGTACGCTGCGCGTCAGCGCGGTGGGGGTACTGGTCCCTGCACCTACGTCCTCCGTACCGGCGACTGCGCTAGTGAGCAGTGCGGGGGCCCGCACTCCACCCAGCGCTGCTTCGGCCGCCTGACGGACGCGTGGCGTCACCAGTTCCTTGACGCCACTGAGATCCCTCGCTGGGGAGAGGTGTCTAGGGCGGGGGTTGCTATCTTTGATCTTGATTATGATGCTATTCTTGCTGCCATGTATGCTGTGTCTGATAGTGTTGAGGGTGACTGTTACCTGTGTGTTCCGCCTGACCCGGGCATTGAGGCTGCTGCTCTAGGTGCTAGTGCGTCTGCTGCCCCAGGTGCTGGTGAGTCTGCTCTCTCAGGTACTACGTCGGCTCAGGCCTTACACACCTTCACCTTTGACTCGGGTGCTTCCCGCTCCTTCTTTCGAGACCGCACCACGCTTACGCCGCTTAGTTGGCCGGTTGTGGTCTCCCTGGCGGACCCCTCTGGGAGTCCTGTCCTTGCTAGCTTCTCCACTGTCTTACCGTGCCCGGCAGCCCCCTCTGGCACCCTGTCAGGTCTCTACCTCCCCTCGTTCTCCACAAACTTGGTGAGTGGAGCTGATCTACAGGATAGGGGGGTTGACCAGTTCACTCCTGCGAGTCAGCGGGTGACCCACTGTACGTGTGCTCGGACAGGCCGACACTTGGCCATGTTCACCCTTCGGCCGGGGTCAAGCCTGTAAACACTTACTACTGAGTCTCCTCCGGCTGCTGAGTCTGTTCAGGTAGCTGCGTCGAGTCAGGTGTTTGCTGCAGCGTCCAGGTCTGGTCTTGAGTCTGCTCCCTGCTCGTGTCGTCTCCTGTCCCACCAGACTCTGCTTTGGCACCACCGCCTTGGTCACCCCTCCCTGCCTCGTCTCCGAGGCATGGCCTCCCGTTTCCTTGTCTCTGGTCTCCCCCGGTCTCTCCCTCCCCTACCTCCGGGGCCTGCCCCTACCTGCGTCCCCTGCGTGGAGGGGCGACAGCGCGCCTCCCCTCACTCCTCCGAGTTTCCTCCGACAGAGGCTCCGCTGCAGACTCTTCACATGGACGTGTGGGGCCCCACCCGCGTCCGTGGCCAGGGGCACGAGCGTTACTTCCTGTTGGTGGTTGACGACTACTCGCGTTACACCACAGTCTTCCCGTTGCGCAGCAAGGGTGACGTCACTGAGGTGTTGATCCACTGGATCCGCGCAGCTCGTCTCGAGCTCAGAGAGAGTTTCGGCTCGGACTTTCCAGTTCTGGGTCTGCACTCTGATAGAGGCGAGGAGTTTTCCTCTACCCATCTGGGAGCCTTCTGTCGAGCACAGGGCATCCGCCAGACCTTCACGCTTCCGGCCTCTCCACAGCAAAATGGGATTGCTGAACGCCGCATTGGCATGGTCATGGACGTCACTCGTACATCCATGATCCATGCGGCTGCCCCCCATTTTCTGTGGCCGTTTGCAGTTCAGTACGCAGCGCATCAGCTCAACCTTCAGCCCAGGGTCTCCTTGCCAGAGACCTCCCCCACCTTGCGGTGGACGGGGAAGGTTGGCGATGCGTCTGCATTTTGGGTCTGGGGATCTCGGGCGTTTGTCCGCGACTTGTCTGCGGACAAGCTATCCCCCCGTGCTGTTCCCTGCATCTTCCTTGGCTTCCCCCCTGACGCGCCTGGCTGGCAGTTTTACCACCCCACCTCGCGCCGTGTTCTGTCCTCCCAGGACGTCACCTTTGACGAGTCGGTGCCTTACTACCGTCTCTTCTCCTACCGCACTACGCCCCTCCCCCCGCCGCCGCTTTTTCTTGCACCAGGTCCTCCCCCGTTAGACCCCCTCCCCCCTCAGGGTCCTGCCCCGTCAGGTGTGTCCTAGGTAGACGCAGTCAAGCCTGTCGAGGTAGCTGTTGACTCTGATACTGCTAGAGGTGCTGAGCCTGCGGGTGTCGGGTCTGGAGGTGCTGAGCCTGAGGGTGCGGAGCCTTGGGGTGCTGAGTCCAGAGGTGCGGAGCCTGGGGGTGCTGAGCTTGGGGGTGCTGAGTCAGGGGGTGCTGAGCTTGGGGGTGCTGAGCCTGGGGGTGCGGAGCCTGGGGGTGCTGGGTCTGCTCGTGTAGCCTCTCGCGGTGCTTCGTTGAGGCGGGAGCCACTCTCTCCGCAGGAGCTGCGCGAGTGGTTTGCCTGGCGCTAGAGCCGTGCTGCTGGAGCTGGAGGTACTACTGTTGCTGCTGGTCCCGGAGGTGCTCGTACTCGCGGTTCTGGAGCTGCTGGGACTGGGGCTACTAGAGGTACTGCTGGAGCTGCTGGCGGTACTGGAGCTGCCGGTCCTGCTCGAGTTGGTACTACTCGAGCTGCTGAAGCTGGAGCTGCTGGGGGTGTTGGCGCAGGTGGTGCTGCTGGCGCTGGTACGTCTGAGGGTGCTGGAGTTGGCGCTGTTGGAGCTGGAGGTGCTGCTGGCGCTGGTGCTGCCGCTGGGGGTACTGGTGCTGTCCCTGCTTGTTGTGGAGGCGCTGCGCGGCCGCGGCCGTACTTCGTTCCGCTCCTTACGCAGGTTCTTGGTCTCCCGCCCACTGCTGGTCCTGCTCCTCCCTTAGAGTGTCCACAGCCTGTCCAGTCGCGGTCACAACTACAGCCCGCCTCCCCCGTAAATGCTCCTTCTCCCTACGCTGGTCCTACTGGAGGTCTTGCTGAGCGTCGTGAGCCTGCGTCTCGTCCTGCATTCCCTGTTCGTGCTACTCGCACTAGTCGTCGTGCTCCGCATCCGCGTCCTCCTGCGGTCCCAGGCACACACCAGATGGCACTGCATCCTTCCACTGCTCCTCTGCGTGTCCCGTTGCCATCTCCTCCAGAGTCCTCTCTTTCTGTTCTTGCTGATCCGGAGTCTGACTCTCTTCGTGCTGCTAGTCCTACTGTCACGCGTCTCCTGGCTACTGTTGTCACTGACCCTTCCTTTGAGTCCACTGCTGCGTCGGCCCTAGTTGCTGAGCTTGTCGACTTTGCTGCTCGCTGTCGTCTAGACTACGCTGCTAGTCTTGTTGCTGAGTCTGAGTCTGTCTGTCCTCCGTCCGTCGGGGGTGAGTGTGCTCTTAGCACGGACGTCCTTGAGGACAGGCAGGAGGGGTTCCAGTGTTTTGCTGCTGCTTTGCCTCATCTCGTGTCCACGCTGATTGCCCCTGAGGGAGACCCGGATGCACCAGACATCTCGTTCGACGAGGTTCCCCCACCTGGGGCGAACATTGTCAGTGGAATGTGGATTTTCAGGGTGAAGCGGCCGCCGAGTTCTCCGCCTGTCTTCAAGGCGCGTTACGTGGCTCGAGGCTTCAGTCAGCGGCAGGGATTGACTACTTTCAGACCTTCTCTCCCACCCCGAAGATGACCACTCTTCAGGTGCTGCTGCACGTAGCCGCGCAGCGCACCTACAAGCTTCACTCTCTTTACTTCAGCACAGCTTTCCTGCAGGGCAGCCTGCACGAGGAGATCTGGCTGCGCCGCCCACCTGGCTTCACTGGGTCGTTTCCTCCTGGTACCCAGTGGAGCCTCCGGCGGCCAGTCTACGGTCTCCGCCAGGCGCCCCGTGAGTGGCACAACACACTGAGGACTACACTTGCGGCTCTTGGGTTTGCTCCTTCTACAGCCGACCCGGCGCTGTTTCTGCGCACCGACACCTCTTTGCCGCCGTTCTACATCCTCGTGTACGTCGACGACTTGGTCTTTGCTACTGCTGACACTACTGGACTCGCCCACGTGAAGTCCGAGCTGCAGAAGAGACACACGTGCACAGACCTGGGTGAACTGCGCAGCTACCTTGGCTTGCAGATCACCCGGGACAAAGCACAGCGCACCATTACCCTGACTCAGTCACACATGGTGCAGCAGGTCCTTCAGCGCTTCGACTTCACGTACTCCTCGCCTCAGGCCACTCCTCTGTCT